AGTCTCTGAAGAACCTGTTTAGAAATGCCTTCTTTTCTGGATAGTCTCCACTTCACCGGCAGTGGATTTTTAAGGTGGTTTTTTTGTTTGGGTTTTTTTTCCTATTTCTGCTTATTAGAAAGAAATAAGCAGAAAATTTATTATATAATTTTACCTTTTTGCCAGGTTTGCCAAAAATCATAATCTCTCTGCCTACTTGTGGGATTGTGTCACCGTAGGATTTCATTTGTCCTAGATGGAAATAAAGGTCCACTATAAAGTAGCATTTTATTTCCTCATTTAAAAGATGAAAACTTAATTCTGCCATTCATGGATTTTTCTTGATGTCTTTTCTAATTTTTCTGTGGTGTATCTATTATCTGGCTTACTGTGTTCATTTATATATTTATATTTGCTTTCTTTATTGAAAAAGAGATGCAGGACAGACTTTTCATTAGTACTCTTCTCTTCATGTTTTTTGGATTGTATATTTAAAACATCCTTTTAAAGAACTTTCAGCTTTCATTCTTTTGTCAATCAGTGGTTTTGCTCACACTTTGGTTGATGCCCTGCCTCAATTTTAGCAGCTTAGCTGTTTTACACCATCGTATTACTTCACTTCTTTCTGTGTCAAGGGTTGGAATCATCCTCTGCCCACACTGAATCCATGGGGCTGTCTGGGCAACCAGAGGAGGTTTAGGACCATGGTTGTGGTCTTATCTGGCATAGAGACATCCCAACCAAGCAGTCTCTGCCTTAGATGTGTTTGGGACACCAAGCTGCTCCAATGGCCCTGGAGAAGCATCCCTATTCTGCCCCTGTTCAGATCACTGGTGTATTACCAATGTCTGGAGTAAGAGTTTTCACCCCAGCCAGATCCCGCTCCTGGCAGCGAGTTTAGCCTTTTGCTCAGATTAATTATTCCCTGCCCTAGTTTCATCGCCCCCCCTCTCGTGGTCGGCAGTGGCTCCTCCCCTCCTGGCCTCCACATACTTCAAATATTTGCAGCTGGTTTGTTTTGTCCTGAGTCACTGCTTGCCTGTGCTGAGCTGTGGGCCCGGGGCCGGGAGCAGCTCCGCCGGAGATTCCTGGGCTTGTCCCTCCGCAGGTGACATCAGCCGAGCCGGTGGGATGCTGCCAGGTGAGCCCGGAGCAGCAGCGGGGGGCGATGCGCACCTTTGGGAGAGCCCTGCAGCCTGGTGGACATGCATCCCCTTGGATCTGCTCTTTGTGGGTCGAGTCTGCTCGGAGCGGGGCAGGGAAAACCTCTAATTGCATGTGCGCTCCCACAAGGAGGTTGGGTAATAACTATTCAGAGTTTTCATTAATTGGAAGAAAGTCGATGACAGTGGTATTTCTCAGATGAGCAGGATGAGCCGTGTGATTGCAATAGCAAACCACAGCCTCCCCAGGAAGGGCAGAGGTGGGAGTGTGCTGTATCTTCACGCCTCATCGCCAGGCCTGGGTTAGGAGCTGCTGCTGGGTCTCTCATGGGTCCAGCAGGGGTACTAGGAAAGCTCAAAAGCAGGTGCTCCTGGGAGGCTGGCTCAGACTATCAAACCAAGGAGAAACGGGAGAACAGAATCTGAATCGCTGAAAATTGTGGTTGAGAACATTGTTTTTGGAAATGTATTTCTGAATGCCTATTTGGCAACTGTGTCATGGGTAAGCATGAATTTGTCACTGGATTGGAATTTGTTGGCTTCATTAAAAATACAAATCATATTCCTGCAGGCCAACAAGGCTCCTTCAAGCTGTGGTGTGTCTTAGCATCTCCAAAGTTGATGGGCATGATGAATCAAATTGAAAGTAAGCATCTAAATAAAAAAATCTGTGGAGTAAAATGGAGATGTGTTTAAAAAATGTTTACTAGGTGACAAAAATCCACAGCTGTGAAATTGGTGGGTTAACTGCTTAATAAGCCTCATTTAGGGAAAGCTCTTATTAGACATACAAGAATGTGTGACAAACAAGAAAAAATAATGACAATTAACAAAGTATGAAATACAAAAAGTGAGAGTTTTTTAAATGTATCAGAAACAAACACTAAGTAATACATATTGGTCAGATATATGACCTAAATATTACAAATAAATTCTGTATTTGAATATTTTGAGCTGTAAGTGTTTGGAAAGAAGTAGGACAACTTTTGAGTTCATTGCTGAAGGGGGATGCTGGAGTAGTGATAAACAACAAGAGTTCTAGGAGACTTGACTATGATGTAGCCTTGTTTCTGAAGAAGTCTTGAAATGTTGAGAAAAAGCAAGGAGGCCAGTGAAGAATTAATTGGTATGAGTTCTCAAAATCATGCAAATACTGATACAGTGGGGTAGAACTGATGCCCAGCATTGTGCCAAGTCATCCAGGCTGAGCTGATGACTACTGTGGGCTTAAAATCTGTGCAGGGAAGGTTTTAATTTCCCTTCCATAGGCAGGGACTTGAGGCTTGCCAAAGAAGGGTGTCACGGAGCTGGCAATCCCACAAGTGTGGGTTGAATCCTTGCCACAGGGTACTTTCTGTAAGGGTCTGACCTAGATTTACTTGTCTGGGGTTTGCTTGGTGGAGCATGGGGAGCTGCTGCATTTGCCAGCAACGCTGGGCATCCCCAGCTCTGTTTTGGAGAGCTGGAGCCCAACACATGGTGTGAGTGCAATTTAGCTATGGCTAAGGCTGGGAACACAGCAGGGTTCTTTGGTGGTGCAGTAAACTCTTGAGGTGTCCTGTACAAAACTTAATGTGGTGGCATTTTGCCTGGGGCTAAATACAAAATTCTGTTCTTTGACAAAAGCAATTGTAATATTTTCCATTTGTCTTCCCAAATGCTGCTACATGGGTAATTTCTGGCTGGGATTTTGGCTTGTCTTAATTTTCAAGATTCTTCCCAGCCCACCCCATGCAGTAGTATCATCTCACCACCCACCCCCTCTGGGCTTCACACACCTGTTTGCATTGCAAATTAACACCTTCCTCTTTCATCCAGGCTGCCTTCCCACTTGAGCTTGCTCTCCTTCAAAACAAATGCCATGCCTTCTTTAAAATAACTCATTTGTTGTTACTTCATTAACTATCTGAGCCACAAAGACCGGCTGACAGTATTATCTTAGTGTTTAATTGTCCCTCCTGTATGTTTTTCTGCTCGTATCCTGTTCAGGCTCCAAGTGCTGTGTCTAGGGGATATCCCTGTGGGTGTTTGTGGAGGACCTTGCACAGCAGAGCCCAGTCTGCTCCTGAAACTTTGCAGATGCTGTGCAAATGCAAAGAGCAAAACCAGTTAAACCCAGCATCTGCTCTGAGGCCCTCCTTGTGGATTCCTGCTGCATTTGAGTTGATAAAGTTCATCACTGGGGCCTGCTGGAAAGCCAAGACAGGGTCTGATGGGGTTAGGCTTAAGGATACTTGCCAGTAGGAATCAGTCACGCCTTTTCTTCCCAGTGATTGCCTACGAAATGTAGTGCTGGTTGTGTCACTGAATCCTCCTCCATGGAGGTGGTTGTTTTGCCTCTCCCCAGGCTAGATTTCAAGGCAGGCCAGCAGAGATGCCAGCTTAGAGAGATGGATATCTTCCCTCCCACATTGAGGGCATCTGTGTTTCAGCTGGGTTTCCCATTTGCCAGGCTGGCCACTGGGAATGATTTTGAAGTTGCTCTTTCTGCACAGAGACACAGTGGTTCATCCTCGGCACAAGTGGCTGTAAGAACTTGCTGTTTGGTGCTGATGCTCCTGGTTTCTGCCAAGGTTGCTCTGCAATGGGAAGGGCCAAAAGGGCTAGCATGGTTTCTGAGTCAGTGTCTCAGCTTGGGTGTCTTTTCTTTCTCGAATTGTTTCGGTGCAAAGACCCCGGCCTGGGGGAGCAGTGGACAGGATGCTTAGGCTGAGGCAGCAATTTTCCCATCCCATGTTTCCTGCCGCAGTGCTGAGTACTGCCATCAGCCCACGGAGCACGGCCGGGGGCTGCTTGCAGCCTGCCCAGCACCTGGGCAGAAGCGGCTGGGGGTCTCTTAGGGCTGTGCACAGTCGGTCCTGTGGTACCAGGGTAAGTTCCGAGCCCTTCTGGGTGTCCCTGGGAGTAAGCAGGGCTGAGCCTCTGTTGTCTGACGCTGTCACTGGAGAAGTCAGGGACCTCTGGAAGTGCCTGTCCTGCAAAATCATTCCTAGAAACGTCTGAACTGGGGCATGTCTACAACTCTAAAAAAAATTCTGCTGATGGAGGGCAGCTGGGGCTCCGTAGCAGACGGCGTATTTGTGGAATCAGCCACTGACATGAAATGGGGTACCCGAGGCAGGCTGGCGCTGCAAGGGGCTCCGTGCTGCCCTGCAATGGGGGAGACCCGGGTGTTCCCGGCCTCGGGGGGTGAGCAGGGAGGGGTCGGGCAGGGCAGTGCGGCTGTGGTTTCGGTCCGAGGGCGCAGCCTTGCAGAGCAGGCGGGTGCGGCCCGGGAATCCGCGGGGATGTGGTGTCTCGATGGAAGCGGGAGGGGGCTGGGCCGGCCCGGCCGCAGGTGGCACCGAAAACCAGGAGGGGAGGAGAGGCGGCCGCGGGGGGCCGGACGGGGCCGAGCAGGGCGGCCCGCAGCCCCGGGCCCGCTGGCCGGGCTCCAGCTCCAGGCTTTGCCGGCGGCAGCAGCGCTGCGGGGCCCGCCGCGGCCATTGAGATGGAAATGCCCCGGGGCTGGAGAATGGAGACCCTGTTCCAGCCTGAGGGAGGGGCGGCCGCCATTGCCTAGCGGGGCGTCCGTCCGGCTCTGCAGCTCCCGGAGCCGCGGGGCGGGAGAGGAGCCCGGCCCCGGCCGGCATCAGGGCAGAGCGCCCGGAGCCGGGTTTGTTACCGCCGCGCGGGGCCGGGGCTTTGCGGCGCCCCGGTGCTGCGAGGGTGGGCTTGGGTCTCCCTGCAGCCCTGGGATGGCCCCTCTGGAAAGGCCCTTGTAGTGCTGTCCCTCAGTCTCATGGGTTACTTGTGCTGTTTGTCTCCTGTCCTCGTATCCTTGCTGGAGCACGCTGATCTCGATTATCTGTCTCGCAGAGATGACTCTCCTGTCCTCCCAGACGCCGTCCCTGGAGCCGTCCTCGGCCGCCGCTGAGAGCGCAGAGCAGAGGATGCTGGAGAAGAGGGCCAAGGTTATTGAGGAGCTGCTCCAGACAGAGCGGGACTATATCAGAGACCTGGAGATGTGCGTGGAGAGGATCATGGTGCCCCTGCAGCAGGCACAGGTAGGAGCTGGGAAAGGAGAGGGAACGGTGGTGCAGCACTGGTGGATTGGGGCGAGAATACTGAGTCCATTTAGCTCTCAGAGATGAGACTATGCAGCACAGGAACCCATAGAGGAAATTAAAGCTGTTCCAAGGGGAGGAAGGTGGTTCCCACAGTTCCCTGTACTTGTTACAATAAGCCCATGTGCTTTGAGATCCTGGTAAACCCTCATCCTTGCTGGGAGTGAGAAACCTGCCAGCAAGTATCACACATTGATTTTTTTTGGTGCAGGAAACGTTTCTCTTTGTTTGGTTATAGGTTAAATTCATTGACAGGAGAAATAAGATATGGGGTCTTGGCAGGTTTAGTGGGACAGATTTAGTGGGAGGAAAAAGAGAAAACCAGGTGAGCAGAGGGAGGGGTGGAATTGCTGGGAAAGCGAAGGACACATAAGGAGTGAGAGTTTCGGTGCACTGTGGGACAAGGGGGAATGTGTGATGAGAGGAGATCACACCAGGTGCCTGCTGTGAAGCTAAGGACTGATGGATTGCAGGAGGGCAATGGGGGGACTGTTGAGTCTAAATGGGACATGTTCCCCATCCAGGACATCTCTTTTCTCCTTCACTAGATGCAGAACATAGACTTTGAGGGCCTTTTTGGAAACATCCACATGGTAATAAACTTCTCCAAGCAGCTGCTGTCCGCCTTGGAGGCTTCAGATGCCATCGGTATGAGTTTTGCTGTTACCTTTTCTCAGAAGGCTTGGATGGGCATTGCTAGTGCCAGAGCATAACAGTTTAAATGATGGGAGAGGATCACTGGGACTGGGCTTTCTCTCTGCTGGTCCCCATCGCCACTCATCAGTCCAAGTGAAACCAAGGAGATCTGTGTTGCCCCAGGGGTCACAGTGAAGCCAGGGAGATATGTGTTGCCCCAGGGGTCACTGTGCTCAGACACTGTGCCTGTACCATCCCTGGTCCTTTGCACCAAAGTGCTGCCAGCTTGAGCCATTCACGCCTTGGGCTGCCTGTGCCTTTGCTCTGTGGCCCCTGTGACCAGTGTCTCCACTACTCCCCCTGGGAGACCTGGATTGATTGAGCTCTCTGTGTTGGGTGATGAGGAGGGGTCCTGCATGCTGTAGTAGCACTGTTTTCTTGACCTGTGTGTGTGGAACAGGGACACTGGATGTCTTACCAAGAGACACACCAGTGTTTCTGGAGGCAGCTGGGGACCAGGAGACACTGAAGTCCTGCTTTGCTGCTGTCTGCAGGACCAGTGTTCCTGACGCATCGTGCAGAGCTGGAGAGTGTCTACAGAGTGTATTGCCAGAACCATGATGAGGCCATCGCACTGCTGGAGACCTATGAGAAGGATGAGAAGTTGCAGAAACTACTTTTGGACCTGCTGGATAGCCTCAGGTTTGAGCCTTTGGCTGTGGCAGCCACCAGGCTTGGATGGAGGATCAGTTTCCAACATCCCTGGCTCTCTTCAGCAGTGTTTCGATAGTTCAGGTGGTGACTGGAGAGGGTCTGATGGTGGCACTGCGTAGTTGTCTGGGTTCTGGGTTCAAATGGCCCCTGCCCCAATGCACACGTGCTGGGAGACCTGTAGACCCCCTTAAAATCTGCATAGAAGCCACCAATGTGTAGAGAAGGTGGCATGTCCTGGACTGAGGGTTCCTGTTCCCCAAACCCTGAGCCACCACGGCTGCTGAGGAAGGAGCTGCTTTGCCTGGCTCAGTGGGTGCCAGGGCTCCAGCTTGTGGAGGTAGCTGCCCCGGGAGCCAGCAGTGCAGATGGCAGCTCTGGGAGGACAGGGCTGCCCGCTGCCTTGGCAGCCTTACTGGGCAGGCCATAGACACTGGCTGTGGGATTGCACACCTGCCACCCCATTAACCCTTGCTTTTCTTTGCTTTTTGGCACTCTGTGGGCCGGCAGGAGCCTGTACAGTGAATGGTGAGTACTTCCTCTTAGTCCCTGCTTGTCTGTCTGTGTTGGTCTGGCCATTTCCCTGTAACTAACCTTCTGCCACAGGCTGGGTGCATGCTGGGGTGCCCTAACAGTGCCTTGTGGAGGCACGACAGGGAGGAGAGAGGTGTCTGTGGCATAATTGCAGCAGAGGCAGTGGGTGGGCTGCACAGGTAGGCAGCACAAGTGATGAGGCAAGGGGAAGTCTTGGTCAGGAAATGGGATTTGGGAACCCTCAGCCTCAGGGAGCCAGGAAAGCCCTGCAGTGACTGTGGTCCTGCAGTCAGTTTGTCCTGCACTAGGGGATAGATCTGGGCAGTTGGTTAGTGGAACAGCATCTGAAACAAGTGGCTTTGGCAAGTACGAATCTGTGCCTATGTGGGATTTCATGGTGGGTCTGGTAATGAAGAGGATCCTGGCTGGGAAGTATCACCTGCTGTGAATGAGGAGCAGAAACTGGGGGTTGATCTGAGAGCACCAGGAGTTCAGAAGAGCAATGAATTTGGACACAAGGGTGGCCTCATGTAGGGAGTACAGTGGATTTAGAGGCACTGCAGTTCTGGGTCTGGTTGGCACTGGTTTGAGGGGGCAGAATGTGTGTAGCAGAGCCAGACTGACACCTGATACATCTCTTTTGTCCTGACTTTCCAGGGGTTGCACAAACTACATTAACCTGGGCTCCTTCCTCATCAAGCCAGTGCAGAGGGTGATGCGGTACCCGCTGCTGCTGATGGAGCTGCTGAGTGCTACCCCTGAGGCTCACCCTGATAAGGCACCACTCACAGCTGCTGTCCTCGCAGTCAAAGAAATCAACGTCAACATCAACGAGTACAAGCGCCGGAAGGACCTGGGTGAGCAGCTGGGCAGTGCTGGGCACAGAGAGACATGAGTGGGTGTGCTGAGGTCAGTGTCTGCTGGCCACTGGGCCTTAGCTGGAAACCATGGTCATGGAGGAGCTCTCACTGCTTAGGGGAGTTTGGCCCCATCACCTTTGTAACTGCCCTTCAAGTAGCTGCTAGTTGTGAGCAGATCCCCCTTTGCTTCCTCACGTCCAGCCCACCTGGCTCCCGCAGCTCTCCTCGTGGATTACGAGATGTGGTTCTCCCAGTCTTGGCCTTTGGGCACCAAAACTAGACACAGTACCCATGTGTAGGCTCCCTGGGGCTGAACAGAGGGAGAAAATTACTCCCTTTGATGCCTGTTGGCCATCCTCCCTGGTTTCCCTTGAAAGCCCCCAGTTTGTGCAAATCTTATGCTTTAGTCTTTCCTCATAGCCCCACTGAAGCTGAGGCGACAAAGGCTGCATGTAATGATTGCTTGTATTTGCTAAAGAAGCAATATAGACATTTTCTGTATGTCCAGGGACTATTGTACATCATCTCCTATGGCATCTTATGCTGGCACTGTGCATAATCCTGTGGAAGAGCTTGAATGGTTTGTCTACAAACTGTAGGGCATCTCAAGAATCTAACAGGTGACACGGTGCTGGATTGGATGGGAGGTTATCGTACAATATCTTACAAGGGCATACAGTGATAGGGCTGGATAATGGTTTTAAACTGAGAGGATTTAGATTAGATATAAGGGAAAAGTCTTTACAGATAGAATGGTAAGGCACTGGATCAGGCTGCGTGCAGAAATTGCAGATGCCCAACCCTAGGAAGTGTTCAAGACCAGGCTGGTGGATGAGGCTTTGAGCAGCTTGGTCTAGTAGATGTCCCTACCCATGGCAGAGGGCTTAGAACTAGATGATTTTTAGGTCACTTCAACCCAAGCCATTCTGTAATTATATGTGGGGTTATTGGGAATACAGAGGCTTGGGGAAGAGGAGAATTAACAAGGTGATTGTTGATGAGGCAGTGTAAGACATGCGTGTTTGTGCTTACAAGGGTTTTGATTTCTATATCAATCTCTTCAGTGCTAAAGTACAGAAAAGGGGATGAGGATAGCCTCATGGAGAAGATCTCCAAGCTCAACTTCCACTCTATCATCAAGAAATCCAACCGTGTGAGCAGCCACCTCAAGCATCTCACAGGCTTTGCACCCCAGGTACTGTGCATCAGGTGCACTTACACCCTGCAGTGCTTCCCCACAAGTATCTGCTGTCCCTCCATGCCCCTTCCCCCCATCCACCTCTGATCCAGGCCAGTGTGGCAGAGTGAGCTTAGGGTCTGAACTACCCATCTCTGCTGTCCAGCCTGTGGGCAGGAGGGGCCCCACATCTTCTAGTCTGGGAGGTGCCGAGTCCTGCATCGCCTCCCTTGAAACACTTTCTCTCACAGCTAAAGGATGAAGCCTTTGAAGAGACAGAGAAAAACTTCCGGATGCAGGAGCGTCTGATCAAGTCCTTCATCCGGGACCTTTCCCTCTACCTGCAGCATGTCCGGGTGAGCCAGTCTGGGTATGATGCCAGGCCTGTGGGGCTCACCATGCACTGCCCCTCCTGTCTGCATGGTGTGTCCCTGCCTCTGGCCATGGCTCCTGCCCCAGCTCTGTTGGGGCTGGGTGGTCTGGGCTGCCCTGGGAGCCCCTTCTGGGCAGCAAGAATGGCTCAGCTCTGTCTCCCTGGTGCAGGAGTCAGCATGTATGAAGGCACTGGCAGCAGGGAGCATGTGGGATCTGTGCACAGAGAAGGGAAGTGGAGATTTGGACCAGTTCCAGAAAGTGAATCGTCTCATCAGCGACCAGCTCTTCTCCAGCTTTGTGAGTGAGGCTTGTGCCCCTTTGAGGCCCATCTGGGGGTCTGCTGCAGATGGGCAGGCCCTGGGAGGCTGCAGGGAGGGTAGCCTGGGAGAGCTGTGAGCATTCCTGTTTAGCTCTGCCCTCCTGAGAGCTTTGGTGCCTGGCAGCTTATGACTGTGCCTGTTAGATATTCATTTTTTCAGCCCTACCTGAAATGCTACAGCTCTATGCAAGTGGCTCAGGTACTTTGCATAGAGCTACCCATGCTGGCACAATTATGTAAGATTATAGGATAATTGCTGTTGGAAGGGACCTCAGGAGTTCCAGTGGCTGCCACCAGGAGACGGTCACTGTATTGTCCTGGGGAGGTTGGGTGCTGAAGAGCGAGCTGTTGGCATTCACCGTGTGAGAGAGAGCACCTTGTCTCACCTCACTGCACCTCTGCCCACCAGAAAGAGCGGACAGAGCGGCTGGTGATGTCTCCCCTGGGCCAGCTGCTGAGCATGTTTGCGGGGCCCCACAAACTGGTGCAGAAACGCTTCGACAAACTGCTTGACTTCCACAACTGCACCGAGCGAGCGGAGAAGCTGAAGGACAAGCGAACGCTGGAGGAGCTGCAGTCAGCCCGCAACAACTACGAGGCCCTCAATGCCCAGCTGCTGGATGAGCTGCCCAAGTTCCTGCGCTTTGCCAAGGAGCTCTTTGCCAGCTGCGTGCGGGGCTATGCCGAGGCACACTGCGACTTCGTGCGCCTGGCCCTGGAGGAGCTCAGACCCCTGCTCTCGGTGGGTCCCCACAGTGCAGTCAGTGCCCTGGGCTCAGAGCAGCACTAATCTGTGCAGGGTTTGTCCCTGAGCCTCACTGGGACCTGTCACATCCTGGGGGAAGCTGCTACTGCAGTTTCAGGCCACAGGTGACTTGTGGGGGGCTCCTGTGGGATGGTGTTGGGGCAGGGATTGCAGGGTTATGTTGCAGTTGTGTGTAGAAGCCTCTTGGAGCAGTGGCAGGAGAGCATTCACCTGGGAGAATCTTAAGTCACAAGTTTGAGGACCACTTAGAGCTGAGTCCAGACAGGACTGCAAACCTGGGCCTGATGCAAGTCACAGGCAGGACTCAGAGCCCTGCCATGGTCTGCGCTGTAGCTCTTGGCCACTTCTCCCAGGACTTGTCACCTAACCAGATCCCAACTTTGCTCTGGTTCCAGTTGCTGAAGGTGTCTGGCAGGGAAGGGAACCTCATTGCCATCTTCCAGGATGAGCACAGTCGAGTCCTCCAGCAGCTCCAGGCCTTCACCTTCTTCCCAGAGTCCCAGGCAGCTCCCAAGAAGACTTTTGAAAGGAAAAGCATGGAACGGCAGTCTGCCCGACGGCAGCCCCTCATTGGCTTGGTGAGTTCCCACTGCCCGGTGTCAGGGCTTGCAGAGCCCAGGACAGCCACTCACACCTGCCCTGTTCCTCTGCAGCCAGCCTACTTCCTGCAGTCGGATGACATCCGAGCTGCCCTCCTGGCCCGCTATCCCCCAGAGAGTCTCTTCCAGGCAGACCGCAATTTCAATGCTGCCCAGGACCTGGATGTCTCCCTGTTGGAAGGAGACATTGTGGGCGTCATCAAGAAGAAGGACCCCATGGGCAGCCAGAATCGCTGGCTCATAGACAATGGGGGTAGGTGGCTGTTCCCTGCCCTTGGTGCTTGCTCTCCTCCTCTGGTGTCCCTGTGCCTGTCTGAGCTCACTTCCTCTCCTCTCTGCAGTGACCAAAGGCTTTGTGTACAGTTCCTTTCTGAAGCCCTACAACCCCCGCCGCAGCCAGTCGGACGTCTCTGTGGGCAGCCACTCTTCCAACGAGTCGGAGCACAGCAGCTCCTCTCCCCAAAGCAACGCCACCCTGACCTTCAGCCCCAGTGGGGCGGCCGTCACCTTCACTCAGAAGCCCCTGCAGGACTCTGTCTCCCCAGCAGATGTGTACCAGTCCCCACAGCCCCCACTGGAGGTGGACTCCCCCTCTGTGCCCCAGCTTGGCTCTGGTGACAGGACGGCCCCACTGGCTGCTACTGTGACATCTCAGCGCCGCTACAGCCGCCCCGAGCTGGGCTGCAGCCCCAGCTCTCGCAACGGGCACTCCACCAAAGCACATCTCAGGCCCACACCCTCGGTGGAGGACAGAGACTCAGGGCTGGAGAACAGCGAGTCAGAGGGCAACCAGGTGAGTCTTCAGCCACCCTCATGGGGCTGGGGGTGCCAAGGGCTAACTGTCTGGCTGGGGACTGAATCATCCTCCTCCCTTGGCAGCGACCAGGAATGTGTAGGAGGTGGGGTATGAGACCTTTTCTTCCAACAACAGAGAACCAGGCTTCAGATGAGGGTGGGCAGAGGCCAGGATGGGGCCATGGCTCTCACTGGGGTGAAGGACAAAAGCTCACACATCCTATGCAGTGTGAGATTAAGGCTGTGTGGTGTGACCATCTAACTGATGCTCTCCCCTTGTCTGGCAGGTCTACTACGCTCTCTACACCTTCAAAGGCCGAAACACCAATGAACTGAGCGTGTCAGCTAACCAGAGACTCAGGATCCTGCAGTTTGAGGACATCACAGGCAATCAGGAGTGGTGGCTGGCCGAGGCCCACGGGAAGCAGGGCTATGTGCCCTCAAGTTACATCAGGAAGACAGAGTACACGTGAGGCAGCAGACAGAGCCTGCACCCCATGCCTTGTTCCTGCTGGGACTGCTAGGGTCTGGGGGAGGCTGGCCAGCCCTGCAGCCCCCACTGCTCACCCTTAAGGCTGTGCCTCTCACAGCTGTGCAGTGCTCCTGGGCCCCAAACACTGGCTGCCATCGCCCCTTTAGGGGAGAAAGAAGGGTGGGCTGACCAGGTAGGCAGCAGCAGGCAGCTTGTGTGAGGGCAGGGGTGAGTTCACCTCTAAGGTGTGTTTGAGCCTCCTGTGTCCAGCCAGGAGCAGGGGAGCAAAGCTTGGGGCTGTCACTTGCCCAGGAGGGTAGGGCTTGACTCAGGCTGAGGAACTGCTGTAGATTTAAATTGTGGAAGGCTAATGCTGAGTTTCTGGAGATTGTCTTTAGTCGAGTAGTATTAAAAGCACCCCAGACTTTGTGAATATGCTCCCTGTGCAGCAGGAGCCTGGTCTTGCCTGCCTCTGCAAGACTTGGGGTGGGACATTCACACACTGCCTGGGGAAGCAGCTCTGAGGTTTGCTGGGAGTAGTTGAGCTCCAGGCCTGGTATGGGTATAGCCTCTGAAACCCTGAAAATAAAGCCCCCAGCAAATGCCTTCTCCCTGTGCTTGATCTGCCAGGGGCTTGGCCTTTCCAAGGGCTGCTGCTGCCAGCAACCATCAGGTTCTCATCTTTCAGGTGAGCCAGAAGCCCAGAACACCATACCCTTGTCACAGCAGCATTGGCTGTGCCCAGGACCCATCTTTGCACTGCCATGCCCACCTGGCTGCTCTTGGCCGGGACAGGGGAGAAGGCAAAGCACAAGCTGCCCTCCAGCCTGTTTTTTGGGGTCTGACCAGAACTGCCTCACCCGTGCTTTCCTGCACGGCATGGGGGAGGGTGCTGACACTCTGGAGCGGCAGGACCATCGTCCCTGCCAGGGCTGTGGTGCCTTTTTCTGGGTTGGTGTGTGATATGGCTGCTGCCATGTGCTGAAGGGGAGAGGTTCCCTTCATGGGGCAGTGTTTGTAGCCCCTGTACTGCTGCTCTGCAAATAAAGATTCGCCCTTGGGTATAGAAGGTGCCTTTGCAAGTATTGGGAGAGCTGGGAGGAGTGGCTGGCAGGTGCTGCAGTGTTCATGCAGACCCTACAGGGCCAGGAACAACATTTCCAGTTTGGTGGGGTCCAGCATTCTAGTGCCTTGGTGTTTGTACCAGCTGCAACTCGGGCATGAGGAAACACAGGAACCTTCTTTATTAAGATGAAGTGGTTGAACTGCGCTCTTCCCCCAGGTGTGTGCTACGTGACTCTGGGGCTCCAGGGCAGTAGGGGTTGGTGGGGTGAATGGTTGCCCTACTCTAAGTGGGCACCTGCTCCCTGCATGAGGAGATCTGGCCCAAGAACAAAGAGTCAAGGGTTTGTTAACAATAATCACCATACTTTGTGTGTGCATGGTTGTACACAGATGTGTGCCTGCTGCTCTCCAGCTTGTTGCTGCCACCATCAGGTTTGCAGTCTGTAACCACAGCCCAAAATCTGCTCCACAAGTGGTTGTGATAACCTCAGGGAGAGGGAGCAGTAGCCATAGGGAAGGCAGGCAGGCAGCCCTAGTTTTGCTACAGAGCAGTGTTCTTGCATGAGTAGAGGTGTGGCCCCAAATTTAGACTGCCCAGCTCTGTGTAACCTCTGTTGGCAGCTCGGGTTTAAAGCTAAACCAAGGCTTACTTATATGCCTTGACATCAGCCTTGTCGGTGGAAGACTACAAACTGTTACAAAAAGTAAATAAATTATAACATTCATTCTTTGATTAAACTGTAAATTTCATTCCGTAATGCTAAAGCATCTCTAAGGTATATTCACCTTGCATGGTGAAGTACAAAAACTAAGATCACCCCCACTGGAGGTCATGAGCTCCCTGCCTGGCAGATAGCTTTTCCCCTCTGTCCTGGAATCAATGATGCAGCTCCAGACCCTTGTGTGCACAGCAGGCAGGATGTGGTAGTAAGGCTAACAGCTCGCTCAAGTCCAGATGCTCCATCTCAGGACAGCAAGAGAAGCCATCCTCTTTGCTTGCCCGCTGCAGAGAGGCCAGTTGGGCAGCCTGGCTGTGGGAGACACCAGCGCCCGCTGGGTGAGTGGCAGCAGGAGGAGCTGTCGCACACGCCCGCCCTGCAGCACTGTGCCTACAGAGCGGTGCTTTCTGCAGCGGTGATGCCGGCGTCCTTTGCCATCGCAGAGAAGATGCCCTGCTTCATGAGCAGCTGCTCGGGGCTGTCGAATTCCACAATCTGCCCAGCATGCAGCACCATCACCCTGGCAGAAGGGAACAAGGCCTCAGCTCCCAGGATCTGAGGGGAGAGCGCTGCTGGGGCCAGCGCTGACAGCCCACCAACACTCACTCCTAAGCCACTTTGTGTTCTCCTCTCAGCAGTGGTGAGGGCACAGCCCTCCTCCCTGTGTTATGGGTCACACACATAAGGTGTCAACAGCAAATGCTTCTAGGGTCTGTTGCTGTAAAGAAGGATCCCAAAAATGTTTCTCCAACAAAGGCAGCACTTCTGCTTGGGCATCCCTACTATCCTTCTGTTCTCTTCACTGCATATTACTGCCCCAGGCTCTGCATCCACCCCTGCCCCTCTGGCTGCATTCTTGCTTCCACTGCTGTCCACCTCTCACCCCATGCCAGGAGTTCATACCCCCATTCCATTTGCCCTGCAGTACTGTCCCATGGTACCTGTTGCTGTCCATGATCGTGTGGAGGCGATGGGCGATAGTAAGGACAGTGCAGTCAGCAAACGCACTCCGGATTGTTGTCTGGATTAAATGATCAGTTTCCAGATCTACGGCTGCTGTTGCTTCATCCAGGATGAGGATCTTGGCTTTGCGGAGAAGGGCCCGGGCCAGGCACACCAGCTGCCTCTGCCCAACACTGGGATGAAATGAAGAGCATGAGTTGCTAGACTGACACTAGCGGATCTTCTGCACGCCTACTGCCTCTCACTGCTCTGACCCCAGCACTGGCTTTCCCCACTGACCATCTGCACCCCGAGCACCTCATCCCTCAGCATATTACTCTCTGGGCCACCACAGAAGGGTTGCTCACACTAGCTCCCTAAAAGCCCTGACTCCTCAGCCGTTTTCTTCTATCTTCACTTCCCAGAAGCTTCTGTGCATTATCCCTGGACAGCCACTTTGCTGGAGGCTGCAATTCCAGGGATCTAGATAAGGGAGGGGAGTTGAGCCTGCATCTGCTCCTCTGCTCACCTCAAGTTCTCCCCTGCCTCGCTCACAAGATGCAGCAGCCTCTCGGGAAGGCCTTGCACAAATGTCTTCAGGTGAGCCAGCTCCAGGGCCTTCCAGACCTCCTCGTCTGAGTACTGGTCAAAGGGGTCCAGGTTCATCCGCAAGGTTCCAGTGAAGAGCACAGGGTCCTGCCAGGGACAGCACCATGTTCAGCCCCCCCCCAGCCATGTAGCAGGGGAAATGGCTCCTGGCCTCCAAGCGCGGCCACATTCTGCTCACACCATTGCCTGCAGCTGGCAGGGGATGTGGTGGCAGCCTGCTCACAGGCCTTTGGCACGTCCACAGCACCCAGGGACACACTGAGGCCATGCAGTGCCTGCAGGGGCCATGCAGCAGAGGGATGTGGAAAGGTGGGGATCAGCTCACCTGGGGGATGATGGTGAGGCTCTTGCGCAGGTCGTGGAGGCCAATTGTTGCTATGTCTACGTCATCAATGATGATCTTCCCTCCAGCCGCCTCCAGCACCCGGAACAGGCAGTTGGTGAGGGAGGATTTTCCAGCCCCGGTCCGGCCCACAACCCCAACCTGTGGAAGCAGCTTTTTAGACCAGAGGACAGGGCTGTAGAAAACAGGGCAGATGCTCTCCATCTTGGTCTGGTGGGCCTTCCTGCCCTGACCATCACCCAGACTGTCTGCTTTGTTTCCTTTTCTGCAGCTCAAGTGCCCAGGAGCCACATCCCATCACCATCCCACCCCAGCGCACGGACTGAAGCCGAGTAGAAGAAACAACTTTAACAGAGTCTCTGTAAAGAGCATAGTGAGGGCAGAGGCACCTTCTCAGTGCTCCCAATGTCACAGGTGATCCCCTGAAGAACCAGGTCCAGTTCTGGTCGGTAGCGAACTTTGTAGTCAACAAACTGGATCTCGCCTCTGCTGGGCCAGCCATGTGGTGGACGCTTTTTTGTCACCCATGGAGCCTGGGGGAGGGCACAGGAGCATTAGTGGAGTTCACTCAGCAATGCTGACTAGCACCAAGCTGTGCAGCAGGTGTTTTGGATTCCTCACCTCATTCTTCACTGTCATGTACTCATGGACCCGTTCCACTGCCACGATGTTGGTCTCCAGCTCCGAAGATGTCCGCACCAGCCAGTTCAGTGTCTGGGTCACCTGCATGGCAGAATCAGAGGGTGCAGAGCTCAGTGGCACCCAGGAACAACCACCTCCCGCCTCAGCCCAGGGAATCATCCTGAGCACAAGCATACCTGGCCTGGCCCCTAATGCTTCACTGCCGAGACACAGCCCACCTCTCCCCAGCCCTTCAAAAACTTTGCTGCAGCATCTCTGATCCACAGCAGGGCCATATTCCTCCCCATGGCAGCAAGTATCCCACTCACACTGGGATGAATATGTGCTTCCCTGGTTCTATAGCCACACCCCAGTTGATGGGACACCCCAGATAATTCCATTTCCATGGATCAGAACTGGTGGCAGAGCAGCATCCTGCCACCAGCCCAGAGATCCCAGAGACAGCCCTGTCCCAGTTTGAGAAAATGCTTTCAGTGACTCACATTGAGAGCAGAGGAGACAGAAAGACCCACGATGCCGCCCTCCAAAGTGCCCTTAGCGATCACTGCCAGAAGTGCAGAGAAGAAGACCACCAGGCTCCCAACGAACTCCAGGCGGATGGCCAGCCACCTGCACCAGGAGAGGACAGCTGAAGGGCTGTGAGAGAGGCAGGAAGGCATCTGCCTGTGCCCAGCACACAGCCCACCAGTAATAGCACAAACATCCCTCACACCTAGCCACGAGCCCAGTGCTGTGCACATGGCACACATTGGTGCATGTACACAGCAGGTCATTTGTGGCCAATTCTGCAAGCAGGTTCATTTATGTCAGTCCATGTCTCACACAGAGCCTCCTGTGCCGGTAATGCCATGTATCAGAAGAGCCCCAGACATTCAACCCTCACACACCCAAATCATTTAGCAGTAAGATTCAAAACCAGAAAGTGCCCACATTGTGCTCCTGCTCGGCCTGGAGGATCACCCTCTTGCCAGAACTCACCAAGAGCATCTCAGCCCTTGACTGCGCAGCTCACCCTGCCCATCCTCTGGACACTTTGTAGGGGAGCACACTTTGGCTTTCAAAATCACCGTAAAGTGTCCCATTGCCACAGATGGTGCCCCTATCCTAAACTGCCCCAGTACCTATGCAGACCCTCAATGCTGAAATCAAGAGGGAGAAATGTAGGATCCAGGGACCTCTCTCAGGACCCAGCAGCCCTGGGCAGAAGTGCTGCAAGCTATGCTGTGGCATAAGTGGTAAAACTCACCTATTTGATACTATCCAGGAATAAACACTTTTCTGATTTATGTCCATGGTGATCTCATTTTGCTTCAGGAACCGTTCTTGGTGCCCATATGCCCGGATCACAGAAAGGCCTGACACAGTCTCACCAAAGTGGGAGTAGATGGGAGACCTGGTGACAGAGTCCAGACGCCTCAGCTGGCGTGACGTGGAGACATAGAAGCGCTGAAACGAGAGACACAGACTGGTTACCAACACAAAGCCCAGCAGCCACCAAGACACTGCTCTCAGCAGGGTAAAAGCTTCACTCAGGGCCCAGTTACGCACCAGCACAAAATAGTAGAAGATGCTCAAGGGAATGATAACGACAGCGAAGAATGGAGTGGCCAGGCAGATCACAATGAGTGTGCTAATGATGGCCATGAAACAGGAGATCCAGCTGCGGAAGGACATGGGAATGGTCTCATCTACCGTGAAGATGTCCTGGAGCATATAAGAAAGTATAGAGAAGCAGTCAGTGGCCCCAGAGAGAAGGAGAATCCCAAAGGCCTCATACATACAGGGTTCCTACACACTCCTGTGGTAACACAGTGCCAGACACTTGTAAAAATATCAGATCATCCTGAATTGGTGTTATGGTGAACAGCATTGAAGGTATTGAGACATGGAGTGCTGAAGTGCACTGACCAATCACAAAAGGGTAAAGAGGACACACAGGTCTAAAACATGTAAGATGAAGGGTATAAAAGGTTGGGCTAAAGAACAAGACCAGCAGGTGCTTGCAGCCTTCTGAAGTGACATGATGTTACACTGTATGGGCAGACACCTGAAGCCTTCTGATATGGTATTACTCTGTTTGAGTGAATGCTTAAAGCTTTCTGAAATTGTATGGTGATGCTTTGTGTATTGTGGCCATCTCAACTGTGACATATGCTGTGACAGAAACTTCCTATAATTATTCCTGTTACACAGACCAGCTTTAAGAACTGCATCTTCATCAGGCCCTAGGATGCAGGACCAGTAATTGAAGCAAAAAGAGGGACAGGGCAAACTCCAGGTCCATGCAGGTTCACCCATGTCTCCAGCTGGTCCTCATCCATCTCCTAGCTGGGCATTACATACTCCCTTAATTCAGAGTAAACCCAGGCCCATAGGCTTAATTTTAAGAAGAAATTTAATTTCAAAAAATCAAGAGACGTTACCAAAAGAAGAAGTGGAGAAGCAGCACACTTGAAGTTACCTGTTAGTATTCTCCCTCCTTTCTCATTTGCTCTTTGTTTTTGACCTTCACTCAGATAAAAAAGATTGTAGATTTTACTAGAAGTCTATAACCAGAAGGACTTCTCATTGTGGGACATGAGCCCTAGGCTCTTACCTCTCTTAGTCATCTACTATGAACCCTCTTCTGTTTCTCCACATCCTTCTTGCCCAGGTGACTCCCAACCGGACACAGTATCCAGGTGTAAGCTCCTCAGCACTGAGCAGAGGAGGCAACAACTTCCTGTGATTGCCACACTGTCTTTCTAGTAGAGCCCAGGATGTGGTTTGGCTCACGGTCAGCCTTGCCTCCCCATGTTCTCCTGGTCCCTTCCAGGCCCTTTCCTGGGCTCAGCTGTGCAGTGCTCAACAGAGCAGGGTTATGTCACTACCCAAAGCTCTGTAGATGTGGTGGGGCTGTTCTCGTACCTTGGCAAACCTATTGACGATGCGGCCGATCGGGGTGGTGTCGAAGAAGCTCATGGGCGCGCGCAGGATGTTGCTGAGCAGCTGCTGGTGCATGACACGGGAGGCTCGCACGGTGCCCCGGGCAGACAGCATGGTTGCAAAGAGCAGGAAGAGAGCTGCAAGGAGAGCACGGGGCTGTCACCAGCTCATGGGTGACACTGGCCCGAGGAACCCTTTGGCTTGATGGACACACCAAGCAGCCCCAAGCCAGCAGCTCTGCAGCGAGCCGCTGGGATAATCCTGCATCCCACCTTCTTGGGAGGTCCCAGCAACTGCGCCCCAGCACAGGGGAGGAACACAAACCCTACTGGAAAGCCTTAGGCCCTAGCACTATGTCTAATCTGATTAAGGAAAATTATCTCAAACAGAGGGGGCAACACAGGCATGGGACAATTTATGCTGCTTTCAGACTGGCGTGTGTCCACAATTCAGCCAGGAGCTGTAAGGAAAGCAGCAGCAGGCAAATTAACAAAATGCTGGGTCCCCTGCTCCCTACCACACTGCTGGCTGCAGGCCTTGCAAGTCATATCCCTCCTGGACCACACAAACGAGGCGAGTGGGAACTGCTCTCTCCCACACTCACCTTGTGACACCCCCAGTGCCCCAAAGACACCGATCCGCAGGTCCCGCTGCTGTGTGGGATAGGTCTGGTTCTGATAGCGCACCGAATCGTCAGTCCAGTCGCTGAGCCACAGGTTGCTCCCCACGTAGGCAGCGTATTGTCCAACGTAGCCCATGACGATCCAGAAGGTAAAGCACAAGCCAACAGCACGCAGGTACCGCAGGTACATGGAGAACTTCACCTGTGGACCAATTGAGCCCATCAGACCATGGGCAGTAACACCCAGCACAGCCTTGGGACTCCACCTTGCAGCCCACAGTGCTCCCCTCCACCACCCCACCCACCAGTCCCAGGCAACTCTGTCTCCTTTGTGTCTCTTGGCTGTGGAAGCCCACACCAGCTTCTCTGAGCCACAGTCAAGGTCTGGCAGCACTTAGCCAGGGCACCACAGTGCTTCATCCCTCCATCCTCACCCTGCCGGTTTCCACAGCTTCTTTCTCGATCAGTTGCTGTCCTTTCAGCTTCTTTGGGGGCTCCTCCTGGGCCTTCTTCTGGGAACTGGTGCTATTTTTACTAAGGCTGCAGGGAGGTGATGAGTACCATTAGTCACAGGCTGTTGAATTGGACCTAATCTCCTGGAGGTCCATCCCCATGCTGCACTGGTGGTGGTGGATTCCTCTGGAAAATAATCTCCTAACTGGGGCAGCTTTGAGTGAGCCTTGTGGAAGCACTATGCATGTTCAGCCATAAAATTAAAGTCTCATTCCCAAAAGCCATCAGCTCAAGTTTCAGGGAAGACTGCAGAGTAAGGTTGTGGCACACTAGTGTGAGTAAAGGCAAAATCAGATGCTCCTGACTCAGAGCAGCTTGTGGTAGGAGCAGGCAGGGAGGCTCCCAGCTGGAAATCCGTGGGAAGCCCCCCCAGATCCCTGTCTCTGAGGGAGCAGTGCATGTGGCAGAGGAAAGAGCTGAGAGCTCAGGTCATGGCCCACCTGCGACTCAATTTTCTCCGATGGATGCTGGCCTCTCGCTTCAGGGTCATAGTCACCACATCTTCAGTGGGCTCCTCCGTGCAAGGATCAACAGCTTCATCAGCCTCCTCTTCATCCCCAGCTAAAGCAACAGCTACAAGCACAGGGATGAGGGAAGGTAGGGTCAGGCACTGAGGAAGGAGCAGATCCCATGCACCACACCTCTGCTGCACTCAGGTCTGTGCTGTACCCTAGGCCTGGGCTGTGTCCTACCACCACGTATCACACTTTCTCCAACCTTGCTGCAAGACCAGCACAGCAGGAGGAGGAAGAAATACATTGTGCTGGAGGGAGAACTGATAGGGGACATAGAGCTAAAGGCCTGCACGGAGGCAATCCCTCCTGCTGACTTATCCCAGCACCACTGGCCAGACTTAAAGCAGAGATTTGTGCTAGTTTAGTAGTGCAAGATCTGGTAGGTCATATCACTCCAGCTCAGAAGCATCTCCTTGAGCAGGTGGAGGAGGGCCCTGTGAAGACATACTGGGAATAGCCAGGCTGCAGCTGGACAACTGCACTGAGCTCTGACAGGGTAAGCACTCACCTGACCTGACACCACTCCTCCTCACAGCACTGGGGGACATGATAAAGATGAAATATTATCCAGTGGAATGTTTAGAACAAACCAAAGGATCTTTCTGACCCCAGCATCACAAAAACATGGAGCCTGTCGCCACGTAAGATTTTGGGACCCATAATAAATGAACTAAAAAGGGAGTAAAAAAGTTAAACATGTCCAGTGCTGAATGTTCAACTTAATACCTGAATGGAAATCTTAGTCAGGAAGTTATTGTGCTGCTGATTGCCAGAAGCTGAGAAGGATTCACAGCAGCCACCACTGGATAGGGCTGGGCTGGATAGGGCCAGGTCAGGCTGACACATCAGACCTTCATATCCCCAGGATATATGCACAGCCACTCTAACTGCCACAGCCCCACTGTGTTCCCAGTACCTGCAGTATTTTCCTCTGAAACATCCTCCTCCTGATTTCCATACAAGTTCAGGAACTGGGAAAAGGCCCCCTTGTTTGCAAGCAGGGTGCTGTAGGAGCCATGCTCAGACACTGCTCCTGCTGCCAGCACCACAATGTTATCGACCTGGGGCAGGAAACTGATACTGTGCGTCACCAAGATCCGTGTCTGCAACAAAGGGGTTGCAGGGTAGTGATCATCAGAGCACCCCTCATCCCCAGCCATGGGTCTGCAGGCTCTCCATCTCCCACCTGGGGACTTGTCTGCTTAGCAATGCCTGGCTATGAGGACACAGGTACCCCTCTGGGGACTCTTGAGGCCTTTCCTGCCTGCTGCAGCCCCATGTGAAAGCTGCAGGATTCCTTTCTGTCCCAGGCAAGCAACCTCAGGCAAGCATCCTTCCTTGGATGGCTAGCACCATGCCAGTGCCACTCCTGCCTGGCTGGGTGGTGGGTGGAGGGTGTGGGTGCTCACCTTCTTTTGCAGCAGCCCTTTTGGCCCCAGCACGTGCTCAAAGAGGTACTTGCCCACGTGGGCATCCACGGCAGACAGCGGATCATCCAGGATGTAGATGTCTGCGTTGCTGTACACCGCCCGGGCCAGGCTGACCCGCTGCTTCTGGCCCCCACTCAGGTTGATTCCCTGGAGGGAAGGGAAGGACCTCCCTGGACATGGGGCTGGCACAGGGCAACAGCTCTGACCTCTGCTGCAGGTGCTATCAGAAACCCATAGTGCCCAGGGCTGATACCTTCTCTCCAATCTCTGTCTGGTCTCCTGCAGGCAGCAATTCCAGGTCTGGAAGGAGGGCGCAGGCCTTGAGGACCTGCTGATACCTGGCTTCATCCAATTCTGACCCAAAAATGATGTTGTCTTTCAGTGTGGCATTCTGGATCCAGGCCTGCTGGGGAACATAGGCCAGGGAGCCCTGGAAGGAGAGACAAGAACCTGTCAGAGATCAGCCTGAGCACTGACAGCTCCTGCAGCCTGTCCTTGCCCTGAGCCACCACTCTGGGACAGTCCTGCTCTACTTCCCCGCTGAGCTCCCAGGCAGCCCCAAAGCCCTGTGCACCAGCTGGCTCCTCTCACCTGGATGTTGATGTGTCCCTTGATATTCTCCATCTCCCCGAGCATGGCTGACACCAACGAAGATTTGCCTGAGCCCACAGCCCCCACCACAGCCACCAGGCTCCCAGGCATGATGTCCAGGGTGACACTGCAAAGACATGAGGGCTGAGGAAGCAGCACTGCCAGGTCACCCATCGCTTCCTGCGTGGACAGGGCAGTGTCTCTGGGACACTCATGCCTGTGTAGCTGTGCAGCACTGTGGAGGTGAGTGCCCTCCCCAGCTAATAACATAGAAAGCCTCCCCTTCCCCAGCCCTCCGCCCTGATGTGGAGCAGAGCACTCACTCTCTTATGGCAGCGTTGCCGTCCTGCTCCCAGGCGAAGGTGGCCTCTGAGAAACGCACAGCACTGCCTGACAGAGAGAGATGTCCCTCAGAGAGGGGAAAGCCCAGGGCTGGGCCAGCCTGAGGCCCACAGGGAGTAATCTGGAGGTTCACCTGCCTGCAATGGGGTTGTGGTGGATAGCTGAGGTGTCCAGGTCTTCTCCACTCAGGTAGCGCTCCAGCCTCGCAGTCGACACATTGGCCTGCCATGGTAGAAAGAGGATGAGGATGGCACGGGGGCACAGCTGGGTGGGCTGGCAGGAGCCCCATAAGCAGAGCATCACATCACATCACAGTCCCCACCCAACCTCTGGGCCCCAAACTTGCGTTATGCATGTGAGTCCTGTCCCACCCCACTGCCAGCAGAGTCCTGTGCACTGACCCCTGGGGATCCATCCCACACCTGAGCCCCAACTGCTGGTTTGGACAGAGGATGCCCCTACACCCCCTGCCCTGTGTGGGCCTGACCTGCACCAGGAAGGAGATGACCATGGGCAGCGTGGCCATGGGGAAGCGCAGCACATTGAAAAGGGAGATGGCAGTAAAGGCCTTCTGTGCATCCAAGATGTTGTTCTCATCCACAAGCACGTAGACAGCAAAGCTTGCCAAGGAGACCTAGGACAGATAAAAGGGAAAGCCACCATCAGTGTGTTTGTGTGCAGCCCAGACCCTCACACTGCCCCAAGGCCTCAGCAGTGCTGTCGTGCCAGGGACCTGTTCCCTTCCTGCTCCTGTTCTCCTTTGGGCCCCACTTCACCTCCCCGATGGGACCCCTTTCCACCACAGCTCTCCTGCCAGCAATCAGAGCCATAAACTATATCCACCAGCCCCTTCCTGCTGCAGAAACGCTCCAGCTGAGGTTCCAAATATTTCCCATCCCCTTGGACACAGCCCAGCCCTAGCTCAGAGGAAGGTAGACCCCTCCCCAGGGCTGTTGTCACTCACCAGGAAAGGAGCACATGTGAACACAAAGACAGAGACTGACTGCAGGTAACTGAAATTCATCAAATTCTTGAGCTCATGTGCCCGGATCTCATTCACTCGCTTCTCAAAGGAGGGCTCCCAGGCAAAAAGCTTCAGGATCTGCAGGATGAGCAGATGCTGGTCTCACAGGAATGCCCACCTCCACACTCAGCTCACCGGTGGCCAGCACCTCCATCTCCTGTCTTGCTCAGAAGTCTTCTTGGCCACTGCATCTCCTCCTCTCTGTCCTGCTTACAGCACTTCCCCACTGCACTTCCACTCCCTCAGTCTCAGCTTACAGGTCATTGCCAGCTCCTCTGCCACCATGCCACTACCACAGCCACCCAGAAAACCCTCTCTTGGCTCCCAAGTCTTAATCCAACTATCCAGAGCTCCTCCCCAGCCAACTTTCAAAAGATGAGGCAGCCAAAAGGATTGCTGAGGGCCAGACACAGGGTCCCCAAGCTAAACTAACACTGGTGCTGTAGGGTTATAGAGGTGTGCTGCCTCCAGGTACAGTGCACCAAGAAGAGGGGTGCAGCAGCTGCCTGGAGAATCTCCACTGCCCACCTTGATTCCATTGAGGATTTCAGTCATTATTTTCATGCGCTCATCCTTGTTCTTCATGTTCCTCTCCTACAAACAAAAGAGCCTGTCATCACCTGATACAGACAGCAGCTCACCCTTGGAAATACATCTCGGCTGCCACAGGGAAGGGAAGGATGGGCTCCACAGCCCAGAGAAGTCATCCCACAAGGCTGAACCTTGGCTCCCTGTGTCTCTGGACAAGTTGGGCAAAAACACCACCCTGCTGTCAGGTAGAAGCGAAAGCTTTATCTTACGGTTGGCAATATCTCATTTTTAGCCCTGAAGGTTGTGCCCAATCTGGTTCAAGTTCAGCTGTGATGGTAGAACAGATCTCACCTATCTCCTGCTCAGGGCAGCTGATCACCTCTGGCTCGGGCTAGAGGCACCCCCAGCCCAAGTGAGATCAACTTCCTAGGCTGGGAAAGATCCAGAGCATAAAAGCAAAGGGTAGGGAGTGTGGAAGATGAGGGAGGGGAGCAACAGTGGGGTTGGATGTGGGAGACTAGGAAGGATATTGCACCCACCACTGACCTGAATGGTTTTGGCCTTGGCAACCAGGAATGCATTTATGGGGAGGAGCAGCAGCAAGGTTGCAATGCCAGCCAAGACCGAGGGGCCCAGCTCTCCCCAGAGGAAGACAATGGACAGGATAATTTGCAGGGGGGATGACCACAGCTGGTGAATGAAGTTGGCCAAGTCCATGAACCTCTGGGCATCAGCTGACATTAGATTCACAGTCTCTCCCACCGTGGACTCCTTGCGGGTGGCTCCGGACATGGTGAGCGACTGGGAAGAGAAAGCACAGTCAGCACAAGCCAGTCAGGAGCAGCCCTGCTGCCAGCAGCATGGCTTGGAGCAGGGAATTAGCAGACCAGGCTGAAACCACTTCTGGGTTTGCTCCTGGTGCCTCTGTACTGGGCACCAGTGCTCTCCTCACTGCCTGCACACCTGGAGCCACTGGGTGCTGGGTGCAAAGAAAAGCACCCTTGTGCAGGAATCCTAGTGGCACCTGCCCTAGGTGTTGCACTGCTCTGAAGAGAAACCTCCTCATTCCCTGGTAGCTGTCAAACACATGGCTGCAGCACCCAGGTCCCAAGCAGTACTAGGGCTCACAGTGCCCTCAGTACTGGGTGGGTGTCCCCCAAGCTCTCCCTGTGCCTTCTGAGGAGGAAAGTGCACACACCTCAGGTTGATGGGGCAGGTGGATGATTTTCTCCACAGCCCAGCTTGGAGGAAGCCAACAGGGATGATGACAGGACCATACAGACCTTCTTGTAGATGGCAGCGATGAGACTGGCTCGCACATTTATGCCAAGCTGGAAGCACAAGCTGAAGTGCTGCTGCAGGCAGAGGGACTGGATCACTGCTGCCAGGAAGAGCAGGATGGCATACAAATAGCCTTGCCAGGCAAAGGAATCCTCATCTGACACAAAGGCAATCAGCAGCCTGGCAGGGAAACAAGCTCATGAGACACACACCCTACTGAGACAGACCCAAGCAGGATGCTCCAAGTGAATGCAGGGGGAGCATCCTCACAAGAGCAGTGAGCAAAACCCTGCCCCAGAGAGCTGGCTCGATGGCCAGCAAGCTGGGAACCCTGTTCTGACACAGACACAGCAGAGGGTCACTAATGGAAGATCATCCACACCACAGTGACGTGCTGCTCAGCAAAACAGAGGCCCTGCTGGGCTGAGCTGCACTGACTCTTGGAGGGCCCCAAAGAAGAGCCAGGACTGTCTCCAGGGAGGGAGCAGGGCTGCATAACAGGATGCAAGGGAGCTGGCAGCCAGCTCAGATCAGTGCTTTGTTAAACTGTATTCCAACACATTCTCCCATTTTTGGTGAGGGCACAAAAGGTCCCCAGGGTCTGTGGCTGGCAGAGACACACACGGACATGGTGAGGCTGGATACAGTGCACACACACTGGGAAGTGGTGGGGCTGGGTGCACAGTCAGGACAGAGACAAAGGACTCACTTCAGCAGCTGGGGGCTGACAAACACAAGGGCATCATGCACCACCTTGAATGCCACTGCTAGCAGGAGATTCTGCTGGAAGGTCTTGGCCAGGGTTTTCATCAACCAGCCCTTGGGGTAATCCTTGGGAGGGACCGAGTCCTCATTGTCTCCCTTCTTCTTCTTCTTCTTCTTTGGCTGCCTCTCCTCCTAGAGGAAAGCCCACACAGAAGTGAGGGAGCTGGTTGTGCAGGCATCCTGCATCTGGCAGGATGCTTCAGGGCAGTTCCTCACTCACCCCAGATCAGGTATCCTGAACAAAGCCTTAGCTTCAGCTCCTGTCACATTCCCTTTCACTGATCTCTGCTTATGTCATACACACCCAGGACTACCTACCACCTTCTCTTTTGTAAAGACAGTTGTTAAAACCCAAACCAGCCCAAACCTCTCAGGCCAAAAATAAGGCAAAAATCGTGAATAATCTGAGGCCAGGGGTGGTCATGGAATGATGTTCCCTCTGACCTCATTCCTGGAAAATATCTGAGCTAGACAGACATAAGGGAACTGCTTGTACTGCAGATTTGAGGGTGGTTTCTGTCTTTATGTAAGGCAGAAATATGGAGACTTTCTTGGTCTCTCAAAACATGGGGATCTGCCAAGGACATGACAGGAAGACCCTGTGATGGTTTCCCCTATCCTTGCCCATGGTCCCACAGGATCAAAGAAGGGAAAACCCAGCAGATGGCTGCAGGGAGGTGAGGTGACCCTACTCCCTGAGGCTGCACCTGGGTGTCTCAGCCTCATACAAGGCCAAGAGCAGGAATGGATTTACCAGCACCAGGATGTCTTGGCTCTGGGCCTTGCTCATGCTGTTCCCATGGTCTGGGTCACCTTCCTGGCGTCTCTTCTTGCATTTCCGTTTCTCCAGTTCTGCTCTGGCCTTCTGCATTGCAGTCTTCATGTTCTTCTCAAAAGCAGTGTAAAGAGCCTTTGTCTTGTCTTCATCTTTCAATTCCCAGACATCCTCTATCTCCAAAGGCTTGCGATAGCCCTTGAAAACCATGCTGTGGGACAGAGAAATCCAATGATACTTGTTGGAAACTCCTTGCTGCAAATGCAGAGCCTTCACACCATCCTGGCCCTGGGCTTGGGCTGCATCCAATGTGGTGCCTGTCCCAGCCTGTGCTGCAGGTTCCCCTGAGGCACCCCTGCGCTTTGCCAGCCCGACCTCCCTCGGAGCCCTGCTCACCTGCTGTACCACTGAAAGGTGACGCAGCTCAGGAAGGAGGCTGTCACCTCTGGGTTCTGTGGTACAAAGCAAAGGGGGTACTGAGACATGGTTTTTGCTGGGGGATGGTTTTGACAAAAGCTGCTTTAGCACTCCCAGCCATTAAGGAGCCTCATAGGTTTCAAACCATGCCAGCTCCAGCCCCAGAAACCTCGGCTCAGAGCCAGCAGCAGCCCACCCTGGACACACATGCAGATGCCCCATGCTGCAGGCTCCAGCTCCTGCTGAGCCCTGTGCTGAATCTTCAGATCTTCCTAAGGAGCCTGGAGCCTGCACAGAGCCTGCCCTACCCCACACAATGCTCAGGATGTGGTGCCCCAAACCCAGTCCCAGGTAGTTCTCACACCTTCTTCCCGATTTCCTTTGTTTCTGGGGCAATATCTGAGAAGCCTGAGACAAGGAAGAGCAGCAGCTGGAGCCCGTAGGAGATGAAGAAAAGGATAAACCGTGGCAGGTCAGAGATTGGTTCCTGCAGAAATGGAAAGCCCAGGGTTATTGCTGGGGATTGTCTCAAGGCCCCTGGTACTCAGAGACAAGATCCAGCCCCTGGCTGAGCCCAACAGAGCAGTGTAAAACTCACTCTGAGTCATGGATCAGCTTCCCTTTGCCACCTCTCCCTGCTTCTCCCTGACCTCCTCCCATAAGGGTGAATTCTAACAGCAATTCCTTCTCAGGTCTTTTCTGGTTCCCCAAGGTCCCCAGGGCAGCTGGAACCCCAGTGATGCCACAGACACACCCAGTGATACTCTTCTCTCTTGTCAAGAGAAGAGCATGAAGAAGCTTTCTTTGGGAACAGAGGAAGGCCCTGGGGAAGTGCAGAGCTTCCTGTGAAACCCAACCTGGAGGGCTTTCCGGACGAGCGACTGGAAAGGCAGAATCCCACAGAGGAGGGTCAGTATCCAGAAGCAGAAGAGCACCCCCGAGTCTCTGCGCAAGCAGAAGCGCCGTGCATCCTGCACCAGCAGGACCATAATCTGGGGGAAAGAAAATCAGTCAGAGCAGCAGGCCTAGGTCTGGCTCTAAAAGTGCCCTTTGGAGCATGTGTCCTGGGATGCCAGCACACCTGGTCTGCTGGGGTTCACTGCCTTAAATACCCTGAACACATCACCAACCCTTCATGACTTTCAGAATTAATTATATAGGGCAAAGGTGTATTTCAGGAGGACATAAGATCAAGTTTGAATGTACTCTGACATTACAGCAGGGCACTACTACTCTTTCTAGCTGTTCTCACTCCAAATTCTCAGACATGTCAAGCGGTGAGGGGTCACACCCTGTCTCCAGCACCTTGCCTGCAGACCTGGAACTGAACCCAGATCATATTCCAGCAGTGCAGCCTCTCTGGGGAGTCCACTTGCCTTATCTCACATGGACTCTGCATGTGAAACTAAATGACATGGCAAAATAATAAGGAAAGCAAATGAAGGTCTGGTTTTGCTTTTAACAAATTTAACAAATGCTCCTGAGCATTTGTTAGAATGTTAGAAGACTGTTAGAATACTCCATGTCTCACACAAGATGTCTGTAACACCCATGCACATATTCCACCAAGCTAATAGCCACTAGGTCCTCTTTAGCCAGCTTTCTCCTCTGCCTGGGCACCCCATGGTACTTCCTGGCTCTCTGCCCAAAACTGAGCAGCAATGTAAAGGAAGCTGTGAGACATCAGAGCAGCAAGCCATGGTCTGCTGTTCACACTGCAAAATCAGTCCTGTGAAAAGCATACTTCTCCAAGTAAGGTTCTATCAGAGAGCTCAGCTACACTTGCAGGCATAGAATCATCCCAGTTTTAAGGAAAACAGCAGTGAGCACTGTACAGCCAGGCATCTGCCCTCAACATACCACCCTCGTGCACCAGCCACATGAGTTTGGGGCTAGTCCTATCCAATTTCCAGGCTAGCCTTGCCCCTCTGACCTCTGTGCTAGGAAAGCCTCGTTGTGCTCGGTGCTGCAGTCTCACCCTGTCCCTGGTGACACACAGCACGCTGACGGCTGAGCCTTACCCAGGTGGCGATGTACAGGCTGGGGTTTGTGTACTGCACCGCTGGCACAGCACCCTGCTCGGTGTCTACAAATGCCAGGGCCAGCTCCGCCACTGCCGTCAGCACCAGCAGAGCAGCCAGCACCTGTGGGGAGAGAGGGAACCAACAGAGACAACAGAGTTCAGCATAAAATACACCCTCTTCAACCCAGACGTGGCCTGGGACAGCTTTCAACCCTGTGAATGTGCCACAGCTCCACAGGAGCACTGCCATTATTTTCAGTTTGGGAGACAGCAGCCCAGAAGATGAGAGGCCCCAATACACACTCTGCCCTCCCTCCCAGTGCATCCCTCCCTGTTATGCTCTCTGTCCCAGATATGCCTCCTGCTCAACTCCCCTTTACATTTCTGTCCCAGATGGTTCCCTATTTCATTGCTCCTTCCCTCCCACATTTCTCATCTCTCCTTCCCACACCTGCCTGTTGCACAGAGTCTTTCCACTCATACCACCAACACCTCAGGCTGCTCCAGCCTGTCATCTGTGCCCTTTCAGCTCCACTCTACCTGTTTGATGATGTAGAGTTTGGTCACAGAGGATTTCTTGGCTCTGGATTTGCACATGGGCAGGAGCTGCCATGGGGCCAAAATCCAGAAGAAGCCAAGGGGGATCCAGACCAGCACAGTCTGCTGGAAGCACACAGGCAGGTCGGCATCCGGACGAGCAAGGTAGGAATCATTCTGGGGCAGCAAGGACAGAACAACAAGTCACTTGCGATGGCTTGACTGACTTGGCACACAGGACAGGAGTAAACACTCTTATAGGTCCTGCCCACCCAGCTCCACCCCATTGCCCACCCTCCTGGCTGGGCATTTCAGCACTCAGCCAAGGTCCGAGTGATATCCCCATCCCCATCTCTCTGCCTGAATGTGAGATGACCAGCCCTTGGTGGAGCCAAGCCAGCAGAAGCAGCTGAAGCCAAATAATTCTCCAGAAGTCCATACAGGCTGTCCTGCATTCCCAGGAAGGCTAAAACAGGACAGAGCTCAGTCAGAGGGGTGTCACTGTGCACAGCACCCCTGGATAAACCCCAGAACCTCTGCTGATCACTGGCACTTGGGTCTCACTCCAGGACAGGCTGTGAGCCCTGGAATCCGCTGCTCTCCCCGCACAGGGGGGTCCTACACCGAGAACGGGCAGTGGGGATGATGCAGTCACTCACCCAGAAGACGGAGCCGCAGAACTTCTCCAGGGCTGCTGACATCGCTCAGGGGAGAAACGGCAGCGCCTTCCTCTCGCTCTGCCCAAGTGAGACACCTGGGCAGATGCTTGGGACAAAAGTCCCCCCACACCCTCAAGCGGTCTTGGGACAAAAAACTCTGATGACCCACAGTTATTTATTAACTGTGTGCTATTGCACAACCCTACAAACCAAAGCAGTGATCAAAAGGGCTTGGGAAGCTGCACGGGCTCAGAAGGGAGGAGAGGAAGACCCAAGAAAGAGACCAAAGGAGAGATACAGGGAAGTCACAGTCACTGCAGGACACCACAGCCATTGCTCAGAAACCATAGCCTTGATCAGTGCACACCGACAGACACAAACGCGTCTGGACCTGCTAAAGACATTACTTGGATGCAACAGACCTCTCCGGTGAGAAGCCTGCTGAATTCCAACAAAAAGTCCAGCAAAGGCTGGTCCCACAGTGGCTGGTGCCGCCTGGCAAGGGGGACCGTGACACCAGCAGTGCCCCAGGCTTGGGAATCTGCAGTGTCTGACACCTGAACTGACCACATGCTGCACTGGTCTTTCTGAGTGCTCAGGATCCAGATTCCTTTTACTAATTTCCAGCCTGCAGATCCTGAAGATTTAACAAATTCATTCTTTTGCTTCTTTCTTTTCCACATTTCCATGTTGTCTGTGTGTTACGGCAGTTGGCTGACCATAAAACCCCAAAGAGACTTTGAATCTTTATTCTAAGGTAACCCCAACAGCTGAGACAGAAAGAGGATGATTCCCAAGGAGACTGATTGCCACTGAACACTTGTTGCTTAGAAAGGCCTAGGTGTGACAGGGACATGTGGTGACAGTGCTACTAAGGCTGGAACTGAATTTCCTTTAACTGGTGTGCTCTTGAGGAACAGTAAGGTGACTGCAACAATTGTGTTGTCTCTTGTAACGGAGTTAGAAGATAACTCAGAAGTCAAGGGTGACACAATGAGTAATTCCTCAGGAATCATCCAAACCAAAGAAAGGCTCAATGTCCAACTCAGTGGTTAATTATTAGCAATTTGTCTGATTAAGTCCACATGGTTTTGTAAATAAAACTATCCCTAGTGCTACGTCCTCTGGGCCAGAACCAATACCCTGCTCATGAGAGTTGTAAACAGATGCAATGAGTAAGTGAATGGAGCACTCACTCAGCCCTTCTCTATCTGGACTGCTGATGTGATTCTTCTTTCTGACACTGGCACAGGTGTCCTCTGGCCTTGCTCAAAACCACTTGGAGCACTGCTCCTAAGGGGGCCACTTGTTTATGACACCTTCCTACATAATGCCCCATCCCATTGTTTGTCTCAGTTTTTAGTACAGGTCACAGCTCATCCCCACCCTGGCTTTGGTCTCTCACTCGAAGTGTTGCCCTCAGCACGGGATTCCAGTCTTTGATGTTCAAAGCAAGCATAACCCACCTTGTCTACCCTCACAGCTGGAGCATGCTCCTCCTAAAAACCACAAAGCTTTACTGTCCTTCAGCTCCTTCCATAACTCTTCCTCCCAGAATAATATACTAAAATACCCAGAACTAAAATACCCAGAAAACATTCACTGGGACCACAGTGGGTCAAAGTGATCTAAGTAGCACCTCTTTGGCCAGCGATACCATAGTTTCCCTGTGCTCCCCTGTCTTTATCCATCTGTTGTACAGCATGTTGCAGCTTTTCAAAACTAGGCACTGATTCAAGACTGTCTCACACAGAGTCTGATCCAGAGGTCTCTGCCAGGCAATCAACCAAATTCCTCCAGCCCTCACTGCTCGTATCTTCTCTGAAGAGTTTCTCTGCCTTGTCATGTTCCTAACCCATGTTCGAAAACCTGAGGCAGCTGGGTCAGCAGAATATTCTCACCTCAATTATCATGATTATGATACTGGTAGCCCCATCATAATTGAGCTACCAGTACCATAATCATGACCATGAAATTTTATGAAATCTCTATATTGACCATAATCATGAATTTAATCATTCTTTCCAAGTTTGGATTCTTCCTACAGCCTGCACATCTGTCAGTGCTGAAGCAGGCTCTGGCACCAGCACTATGCAGTCACTCCCTTCCCAGCTCCTCTGTTAAGAACTTAAGTTCCCAAGGTGTTTTGGGAGACACCAATACCTCTGATGGATCCATATGAAAAAGTGGATGTATCCTTTAAACTGAAAATACATAGTCTTGATGATAAGTTTTCAATAACATAATTCTATTTAATGTGACAAAGGTGCTGCCACCTTGTCAAGTATCACATTTTTTCCATACATCCTCACAGGCTGTAAGCTATTGCCAAGATGGGAAGAGAAATCTGTACCCTGCATTTGCCTCCTGAGATCCAATATCTTGTCTGTCAGAGGGATTCTCTTCAGCTTTGTGATCTTTTACAGAAGAGCAGGCAGCAAGGATAAAGGTGCTTTACTTTTAGGTCTTTACTCTTCTAATGCATCCTCTGATACCATTTAAATCTTTCACTGGGTATTTTACAGACTAACTGTATCAAGAGGCTGACTAGGCAGCAATGACCCAATAGTCTGGAAAACAAGCAGTTTATGCTTTATGGTGGGACAAGGACCTGGAAACTCCTTCAGAAAAAGCAGACTGTCCTCCCAAGAAATCTCATATACCAACTCCACCTCGAGCACTGAGGACACAGAGCCCAGGATGGTTTAAAGCTTCCTCATCTAATCAGTCCGGTGCTTCTCACTACTTACAGCTGCTGCAATGCTAATCCCCACCTATGCTACTGGCTGACCACAGCAGGCCTTGTTTCCCAGCTGTGGCTATGGTGTTTCCCACCCTGGCATCTTGGATGTGATTGTATTCTCTGGCACAGCAGGGCCTAATTCAGGCAATACAACAGGGGTCATGGTCTTACCTGAAAACATAAACTCTGGAAAAGCACAGCAAGAGGGGGGCAGCTGCAGTGTTTATTTGACAATCACATGCAGTGCTATACAATTCAGTCCCCCTACTTCTCACCTCCCTTCCTCCCAGATGCTGCTCAACAGCCGCTGCTGCAACATCTGGAAATGAGTCCTTTTATTTAAAATGGCCAACGTAAGTTTCCAGGCCAGGGACTTCAGGGGAAGCCAAGGGAAGAGGTGTCAGGCTCCATCACCTAGTGCATGTCCTCTGCAGCCCGAGGACGGCAGCAGTACCCATCTGTCCGTGTGCCAGGGCAGACCCTGCAGTCTCTGTGCTCTTGTCCCACACGGTGCCCGCCACTACAGAATGTTCTTGGCAATCGCGTTCAGGGTCCTCACTTTTGCCACATCTGCCACCTTTATGGAGTACTCGGGCGCAGAGAAGGACGCTCCCATGGCAACGTTCGGATTTCTGTCAGGAAAACCAGTCATTAGTGGTGATCTGCTGCCGATACAGATGGAAAAGATCCACCAAGAAAAACACCCCCATATTCCCCTAGCTTCAGCATTGGCCAAAGATGGTGCCACCCAAACCAAAGCTAGGACAGGAATAGAAAGAACAATAATCCTAAGCCTAAGAAGTGCAGACCTATGGACAAATATAGCCCATTCCTCACTCAATTTTCAGAAGCATATCCCACTGGCTTGCCAAATCCTACTTGCTTGTGTTAAAAGTCTAAGGCAACTACACCACAACCTGCCTTCCCAAGTGCCCTCAAAACTCCTAGGGCAGCAGTAGTAAGAGAAATGCCCCAAGGATCAGGTTCTGTATGGAACACATGTCCTCGTGAGGAGCACTGCTGGATTCATACACTGCAGAATACAGCAGCAGGCACCATGATCCCAAACATAAAAGCACAACTAGTACTCAGGAAGCTGTTTGAAATTTATGCCAGCTCTACAAACTAATGTTCACATTCATTAGCCTTTCCCTCACAGAGTTCTGCTAAAAAATAAACATAAATAATCAGTTACCTGAACTTCATCCCTGAGTCCCGAGCTGAGCGAGCAGAGCAGTGAAACTCGGAAGCAGTGGAGCCTTCCAGAATCCTCTGCAGGTTGCGCTCCGTGATGCCACCTCCTGGTGGGAACAAGCCCGATGTCACACACCGAGCAGATGTCACCATGCCAGACCTGACATCACCCCGGGACCTCACCACCAAGGGACAGGAGCCATGTACACCCAAGGGAAAAAACAGCCCTTGGGACAACAGAGACACGAGCACGTGAAAAGGGACGGGAGAAGCCTTGGCTCATGTTCTCCCATAGATAGAGAGCTGTCCCCAAATCCTGCAGGGAGCAATAGCCGCAGGGCTCTGCCCTCCCCAACGGGCTGCATGGCCTTTAATCACACCAGGACAGGAGCTGCTCCTTCTGGCTCAGAAAGCCAGATCAGAAAGTGGATTCCAGGGCAAGGAATCCAGGGCAAGGAGGCTAGCAAGGAAAGGCTAAGGATTGCAGGACCTGACACAGATGACAAAAAACCATTACCTGGCACCACCACAATTCTGCCCTTTGCCTGAAAGAAGAGTAACATACATGTCAGTGATATTAAATGACGACCACGTCCACATGTGCATTTGTGAGGTAGCAAAGAAACCTCACATGCAGCACTTTCCATAAGGTCATGGATGTCACCATGGTTTACAGTTTGTGTGCTATCACCCATCTCTTTTGTATTATTCACGTTTTAAAAAGCAAAAGTGGAAAAGAACTTGCAGTTACAGCTAAGGCAACCCTATTCCCTCCTACCTCTCCATCCCCCCCTTGCTACCTATCAGGTACCATCCCACTTTGCTACCTCACCTCTTGCACTTTCCTAGCAGGGACCTCACTCTGCTGTTTGTGGTGGGCTCATCACACCAGCTGTTTACATAACTCCCACCACCCTCCCCAAATCTGCAAGAAAGAACCCAACCAGTTTTTGTTGTGGGAGACTTCAGGACTCGGGGAAACAAAATTAAAGCCAAGCAAGAGAGGGAAGGCAAGCACTCCCTGACTGAAGTCCCTTGCAGAAATGAGGGATACCATAAAGCAGCTGCCTGCAGGCAGTGCCAGGGAGCAGCCACAGTAACCCATCAGAGCACAGCAGTCACCTGTTCTGCAAGCCTCTTAATCAAGGACAATCCTTCCAGTGCCGAGCTGTCACAGCCACTCGTCAGCACCCGCTCAAAGCCCAGGGAAATCAGGGTCTCCAGTGCCACCAGAGGGTCATGCACCATGTCAAATGCTGAGGGACCAGAACAACAGCTCAGAAATGCCTCAGTCCATTGTGCTCAAGCCCTGTCCCTCAGCCAGTTCCCCCGAAGGCAGCGATAGGAAGGGTCCTGCTCACACCCTGGATTCACAGCTCCTGACTGTAACACTCCCCTTGCAGCAGTGCCAGGGCCACCATACTCAGCCCCTCAGACACCTCCTCTCTCACAGGGCAATGAGACATCTCGCAAACCTGAGCCCCCTGGACCTTTTCTCTTGTGGGGAATAGCACAGCCTGCAGAGCTTTCCCCCTCCAAAGAACAACCCAAGAAGATGAAGCTCAGCTCCCCCAGCCCCACCTCCCCAGCAGTGGGACACAGACTGAACACTGCCCAGGGCCACTGTCCCTGGAAACTCACCGCGGTGAAATGTGACTGGCAGGGGACGGCACACGGCTGCAAAAAGAAGACATATGGTCAGTCAGGGCTGCTACAGAGTCCCTTGTGCTAGAACCAGAAACATACACGACACGGAAGAGGGCAAAGGCTTCTCATGCCATTCCTGGGGAGCTCAGAGAATTCCCATTCTTGCTGGGAACAATGCTGTGCATCCAGGTTTTTTCGTGGGGAAGAGTTCTTCTGCCCTTTGAGAAAGCAACAAACCTTTGGTTTTATAGGTAACATCAAAATCCCCATCCTCTCTGGAACATGCAGAACCCTCACTCCCACCACAGATGACTTTCTCAGCAGGAAGGAAGCAGGGAAGTTGTATCATCTACCTGGGGAAAGGCCAGGACCATTGCTCTTTCAGAGCAGGGGAGCTAATTTTTATGATTTCTTTCACCACCTACAATATCTGCTCTCAGACCACAGCAAACTTCACCAGAGGTCCTCTACTTACTGAGCAAAGCTTATTTATTTCTACAAAAAGATATCCACCTGCTCCCTGCTAAATCCTGGCAAGACCCTTTTCCTTTGCTGCACTTCTTACAGCACATTCACCTTTGTATGAGACCCTCAGCACCACACCAGGGAAAAGTGCAGCCCTCTTTAGCTTTGGCTGTTGCACCAAAAAAACATGCAGCGAGAAAGAGAATTTCCTTCTGCATGTTTGTGGTCTGGGCTAATAGTCTCCCACTGCAGCTTCAGAAGCTTTTCACGTGTTCACACCTCTCTCTTGTAATCTTTTCTCCCTGTGTGTGTTAAGAGAGGAAAATGAACATGAATTGCCAGCTACACTCAAGGTTAAAGTCCAGGAGATATATATCCTAGACACCTGTAGCAAGGACATAAGGAAAAGAACAAAGGACAAAGAAAACGAGAGAGAGAGTTCAACAGGTCAAAGCAGCTCACCTAAGCCTTTTTACACTTTTGTGTATGTCCCAGGTGGCCTCAAACTCTGTGTGAATGGCTTGGGGCTGTGGCCCTCAGCCTGCAAAGTTTCTAAACTACTTAATGTCTCACAGGTATGGCAGGAAATTAATCCGAAAACGGTGGAAAGAGATGGCAAGACCACAGGATGGGATGTGCAGACCGAAGCCCTCGGTACAGTTCTACGGCATGACCCGGAGTAGCGCTACAGCCCCCGGCAGCGCACGGAGCCGTGCCCGAGCCCCTCACCCAGCAGCGCCGTGCACAGCTCCGTGTCGATGCGCCCGTCCTCGGTGAGTGCCCCGAACACCAGCCCGTCAGCGCCGTGCAGCTTGGCCAGGCGGATGTCGGCCTTCATCACCTCCACCTCCCGGTCCGAGTAGAGGAAATCCCCGCCGCGGGGCCGGATCATGACGAACACCGGGACGCGCACGCACTGCTTCACCACCTGCAGCAGCCCTGCCGCGGGACAGCGGCGGCTCAGCACCCGCCGGCACCGGCTGGCACCGAGCGCACGGAGGGCAGCGAGGGAGAGAGACCGACAGGGAAGGCGGCCCGGGGGCGGGCGCGGCTCACCCATGCTCGGGGTGGTCCCTCCTTCCACGAGGCCCGCGCACAGCTCGATCCGCCCGGCACCTGCGGAGAGGCGCGTCAGGACCGGCCCCGCCGCGCCGCCGCCCCCTCCCGCCGGGCCGCCGGGCCTTACCTCCGCGCTCCGCGTTGACGGCGGACTCCACCGAGTCCACGCACACCTCCATGAGGAACCCATCGTCCATGCCTGCGGGACGGGAGCGCCGCGGTCACCCCGGCCCGCCCCATGCCGCCCGCCCGGGCCGCGCCGGCCCCGCCGCGGGCCCGCCCCGCTTCCGCCTCAGGCGCCGCCCCCGCCCGCGCTTCCGGGCCCGCCCCCGCGGCCCGGGCCCGCGCCGCCCGTCGGCGCGCGGGCGGACGGAGGCGCGGGACGCGAGCCGGGCGCGCCCACGCCGGCGCGCGGCGCGCGCAAGCCCCGCCCCCCGGGCGCCTCGGCCCCGCCCCCGCCGCCGCCGCGCGGGCCCCGCCCCCGCCCCGCGCGCGCCCTCAGCACCGGCGCTGGCGGCGCGCGGGGCTCGCTCTTCGCGCCGCCGGTCACGCGCCGCGCGATCGTCATGGCGACGCCCAGGCGGGCCCGGAAGTGCTCGTCCCGCGCTTCCGGCGGCGACACTTCCGGGGTGGCTCGGGATGCTGCGGGCGGCGCGCGGCGGGGCCCGGCGGCTGCTGCGGGGGGAGCTC